AAGTGGGCCTTGAACTTGTGATTCTCCTGCCTCAGCTTCCCAACTAGCTGCTATTACAGACTTGTACCATTCCATCCAGCTTAAAATGGCTTGGAAAACAAATCCATTGAACAGTTAATTTTATGTTATGTGAATCTTATCTGAACATTTAAAACTGTACTAAAGTATTTATAGTTTCTCAACAATATGAAATTACTGGGAAATAAAGGTAAGACTTTATTCCCATCCCAGCAACAGAAGGATTGAATCAGCATAGTACTTACCAGAAGCTTATAGAAAACAATTTAAACAAATGACTCCTGGTTTAGATGGCCACATAATAATTGTGTGTGCGTGTGTGTGTGTGTGTATGTATATGTGTGTGTGTCTGTGTATATGTGTGTGTCTATATATATGTGTATCTGTGTGTATGTATATGTGTGTGTCTGTGTATATGCATGTGTCTATTTATATGTGTATGTGTGTATCTGTATGTGCCTCTGTGTGTGAGAGTTTGTGTGCATGTATGTCTCTGTGTCTGTATGTGTATATATCTGTCTCTCTGTGTATGGGGTAGGGCAGAGGTCCAAGTCATGTGTCTCCCTCTTCAGGTCCCACCTTATTCTTTGAAATAAGCACTGAACCTAGTGCTCACTAGGAAGCCCCCGGGAACCTCTGGCTTCTGTCCCCAGCCTGGTATTACAGGCAGCTCTGGTATTACAGGCAGCCCGCATTTTGCTCTTTGAGCCAGCCCCTCAGCCCTGACTCTAATTTCCAATCAGCAGGGACCATCTCAGGAGCAGCGACTGTTCATCAGAAGTCCCCAAGTGCCAACTTCACCATCAAAGTCGGCTGAGGAGCGGGCAGTGCAGTTCAGTGGTGGGTGCAGGGCCTGCCTGTAATGCACTAGGTCCTGGGTCTGAACCCCAGCACTGTTCCAAACTACAAAACAACACGACAATCCCAACATATCAGTTAAACAGGCCTGCGATTACTAGACTCTGAACGCCAGCCAGTCTGGCCATAGGGAGCGGGGCTCTGTGGAAGTGATGACACCAGACAGCAATGACAGGCCACTTTAATTCAATAGAAGATCTGGAAATCTGGTCATTCTCACGTGTTGTTGGAGAGCAGAAGGCTCTCTGGAAGGAAGGCACTGTTTTCCTTTCCACTCTGGAACTGGGAAAAACATATGCTTCAGCACACACCTCCAGAGCAGTCAGCTAAGAGGAAGGCAAAGTGGCAAAGCTTAAGGGGATTAAAGCACATCTCAAATGAAGGTGAGAACAACCGGGCTTGAGAGGAGACTGCTGGCAGTCACCAGAAACAGCAAACATAAGGAAGGCTGGTGGGACTGTCAATCTTCCTGCATCCCCCTTTCTCCCTGTGCCGTTTAGACAAAGCCATGGACAACTGGCCTCCTCATCCTCACCGTCATCCTTGTGCATCTTCCCCATCCTCACCAGTCATCCCTGCACATCCTCCCCATCCTCACCAGTCATCCCTGTGCATCCCCCCATCCTCACCGTCATCCCCTCACAGCCTCCCCATCCTCACCGTCATCCCGGCGCAGCCTCCCCGTCCTCACCGTCATCCCCTCACAGCCTCCCCGTCCTCACCAGTCATCCCTGCACAGCCTCCCCATCCTCACCGTCATCCCTGTGCAGCCTCCCTGTCCTCACCGTCATCCCTGTGCAGCCTCCTCATCCTCACCGTCATCCCTGTGCATCCTCCCCATCCTCACCGTCATCCCTGCGCAGCCTCCCCGTCCTCACCGTCATCCCTGTGCAGCCTCCCTGCCATTATCATCTTGGTAAATTCCTAATCTCTGGTTTGCTCTCAGGAGGTTTTCTCCCTCCGGTGACCTTGTTTGCGCTCCCTGTTGGTCATGGGCAACCTGACTGAGATTTAGACACTCCTCTGATGTGACCACCTTTGGCTGGGACACTGTCCTCGCCATGTGTCCTCACAGGCATGGAAAGGCTCTGTTCCACGTTGGTGTAGCTCTCCTGTTCCAGGCACGTCTCTCAAGACTGCCTAACCTACAACTCCTAGCATGGCTTCACACTCACACATGTCTAGACAAGCTTCGCTTTTGAGAGACTTAAATATAGTGAAAGACAAAACGTATTAAATGCTCCAGAAGCCCCTAGTTCCAGTGTAGTAAGCCAAGTGACTTGGGGAGTGTGGTGTGTGTTTGTGGGCAACTTTTCCTATGTTACACGAGAAAAAGATGTGTCCCTGTCACCAAATGTTCTACACACCACAGGAATCGTAGTATAATTTTCTTGGAGAAAACCCTAAAAAGGAGAGAAAGCATCTGCCCTCTGTATTTGTCCCCTTGTCCCCTGCATATGTCATGCTACGAGGTAAATGCAAAACAGGGAGTGAGATCTGGGTGAGGAGGCTCTTCCCTTTAACAGGAAGAGGAGAGAGCCAATCCGAGACATCTCAGACTTGTACAGAGGACTGCAATACCGTGCTTGGTAGCTCCTGCTCTGGGCAGGGCAAGTTCTCTCAGCTCTGACCTGTTACCACAGGCACATGCGTGGTAAGGTAGAATCCACACTGGCCTGGCTCTGTTGATCACTGACTCTGCCTTTGGTGAGCCATTTGAGTCTCCTGAGACGGCACCTCTGCTAGGGCAGTGGGGACGGTAATGTCCCACTGAAGGTGGCTGTGATGGATTGAACTGCACCCCTCTCTCCTGAAGACAAGCTGAGGGCTTGACTCCTCAGCCACACCTCAGCCAACAGCCTTATGTGAAAACAGGGCTGCTGTGTGGGTAATCGGTTAAGAAGACATTGAAGCTGAGAAGGGTAGGCTGTTAGTGCACTGTCTGGTGTCCTTGTAAGATGGCCTCTGGAGACACGTACAGTAACAGGGATGCTATGTGAAGACACGCACAGAAACTGAACCACACAGCTGCAAGCTGAGGACTGCCAAAGATGGCCAGGAGCCACCACAGGCTAGGAAGAGAGAGAGAAGGAAGGGATCCCCCCACTAGGAGTCTAGTAAGAGCAGGGCCTAACTAGAGATTGGCTTGGTAAGGCCACAGAGCTATGACATGGTAAATTTCTGTTATTTTCAGCTCCTTAGCATTGGTACCTGGTTACAACAGCCCAAGGAAACTAGTATAGCGATGGAGGTCTTGTTGGTTTGTTTATTTACTTCCTTATTTATTTGCTGTGTGTGCGTCTGCACTTTAACTGTAAAGGAAAAGGTCACATTGACAAGAAAACACAGAAACCCTTAGTATTTGGCCATGTCTGAACTATGCCCAGCAGTTCACGTGCTAGACGCTTGATTTTGAATGGAATGGTATTGGGATGCGGGGACCTCCCTGGTCATGAGGCTGTGCCTTCAAGGATGGGCGGATGCCACGTCAGTGCTGGCTTATCTCGCGTGGGCTTGAGTTTGACCCTCTCCTGCTCCTTAGTCTTGCGCTGTCTGTTGCCTCCTTCTTCCGTGGCACGACACGACCCAAAGGTTCTCACCAGGTGCCAGTGGCATGTGTCTGGATTTGTAGCCTCCAGATGAGTCAACTAAGTCTGCCCTTTATAAATTATCCCATCTTGGATTCCTTGTTGCAGAGATAGAAAGTGGACTAAGGCAGCATCTAAACGGTTGAAACGTTATTGTCTTTGGACCCGACATTGCATCTCCACATTTACCTCCCATTACCTTCCTCCCATTCACCCTGTCTCAGCACACTGGCTCTGGGCTATGCCTGCAGCATGTGAGCTATGTTCTTTCCTTTTGGCCGAGGTATTACTGCTTCCTCTGCCCGGAACACGCCTAGGGCAAACCATGACTTCCAGACTCGCCTCAGTGAGACCGCCTCACAACGCAACACTGCAGTTTGGATCAACTCCCTGAATACTCACTGCCCCTCTCTTCCCTCTCCTTTCTCCCTTGCTCATGCGCTCACCAGATCTTAACGCCCTGTATCACACGCATTCTTGCACTGTCTATGACATCTCCCTCCTCCTAGGACGTGAGCTCCATGAGGGCAGGGTCCTGTGCCTATTTTACTCGGTGACACAAACAAACAGCCACACAGGGTCTAGCTCACTGGAGATGCTTCACAAAGAGCTATAAAATCCCTCATTCATTGTAAAACAGTCACATCCTCCTGATCATGGCGAAACTGCTCACATGTGCTGCAAACAAAGTAATTAAAAACAATGGAAAACCTCAACTTCCCTCCGTCCACTAAAGCCCTCTCAACGTAGAATAAACAAAGGGCAGTGGTTTTTTGTCTTCCTGCGGGTGACTCCTTCAGAGGTCCCGTCACAGGAGGAGAAATGCCATGACGGGGTAACAGCTTCTGGCAAGGCTCCACATGTGGGCTAAGAGTAGTCAGGTGTCTACACACACAACATCAATAGCGCTGCTGGCCATTTGCTTTGAGCTTTCACTTCCTTCTCTTCCCTCAGCTTACCTAAGGTCAAGACAGTGGAATGACACTATTCTTGGGAGGGAGGCAGGTGGAGAATGTCCCCCAGTCCTGAGTACCGAAACACAGGGCCATGCTCTGCCATCCCGAGTCACCATGAGAGAAAAGCTCCTTACCACACCACAGGGTGATAGAACAGCAGAAAAGCAATAAAAAGTAATCATGGTGTACTTAGATTTTTATTTCCCTCCTTCTATTTACAAAGTTTGTTTTGTTTGTTTGGTCAAACGTAGGCATTCAGGGAATATAAGTGGTTTGTTCAAGTTTACTGAGCTGCTGAGTAAACTTGCAGGGAACCAATACTAGGATCAGAAGATCATGAGTGACAAAGATCACCAAACTTCAATGCTCCCTGTCCGTTTTACAGCCCTGCTCACAGAAAAGACAGTCAGACAGACAGACAGACAGACAGACAGACAGACAGACACACACACACACACACACACACAGAGAGAGAGAGAGAGAGAGAGAGAGAGAGAGAGAGAGAGAGAGAGAGAGAGAGAGAGAGAGAGAGAGAGAGAGAGAGAGACTTCCTGGCCAGTGCTCTATGCAGGTGACCTACCGTTATGAAGGAACACAAATCCTATTGCTGCTGGATAATTCTCCGCCAAACTTTTCTTCTTGTAGAAAAGCAGACCCACCCTTGGGGGTATGCTCGTCAGGAACTGGGGTGCAGCACTGAGACAGCCTGGGAATCACGGCCCTTGGGAACTGTTGGGAAAAAAGACAAAACACCAAGCACATTTTTGACTTTCATCCTCGACTCAGAAGACCTCAGCCAGGGTCTCTTTTCCTTGTCTTGACCCAAATCAGTACAAAATGGTGGGTTTTGCTTGTTTGCTTTGTGAGACTTCTAATTAGGTCTAGGTGATATTGCATTTCATTGCTTATCCTACATTTTACTGTAAGGCTTTACCATATTTGTTGAAAACCTTCTGCTGTCGAGGGAACCAACGGAATCCCCTCCATAACCCTGGCATTTCCATATTCCCATACACAGCATTCTCCCATTGACTGCTTGTGGGAGATTAACTCAAACGGGAGGAACCAGAGGCCCAGACGCAGTGTAGCAGAGAGTGAAGGCAAGAGTCACCAAGTTATCTCTTTCCCCAGAGGTAGGGCACCTTTTCACTCAGATTCCAATCAGATTTAACTAGGTTAACATTTCCTGTGGGTAGGACACATACAGTCCCTTCTAGCTCTGCCTGGATAAAAACCATGATAATTAAACTGGAAACATGGAGGGGCATATCCAGGGGAAAACCTCACTTTTGATGGTGTCCTTTGTAAATTCAGTGAAACAGGAAAGGGACAATAAAAAGCCACCCAAATGGGTTGAAGCAACTGTGTAGAAGAGTTGTGTAGAAGAACTCCTCTGTTGCTGGCTATGAAGGACTAACATATCAGACTAACTTCCCACCAAATGTAATTAGGCAGGTAGAAATCATCTCAAAATGTGTTTCAAGGCATGGGGTGAGCGGGGCATGGTGGCACATGTCTGTAATCCCAGCATTCAAGTGTACACACACACACACACACACACACACACACATATACACACACACACACATATACACACACACACTGAAAAAAAGGCAAAGCAAATTGAGTAAGGATAAAGACAGATGACACAATTAGACTAAACTTCAGTCATTTACACAGCAACGCTGTACCTGAAGCTGGTGACCACGCACTCTTTCAAGGCACAAGTCAAGCCCTAACAGAAATGAACACAAACAGGACTCATGAAGCAGGTCTGAAGTACTTTCAACCCATGGACATAAATCACAGAGTGCTATGTTCTAAAATGAATTATTCTAAGAGAATTAACAGGATGATAAGAAGTTACAAAAACATAGCTGCTTTTCAAAATCGAGGTAAGATTTACCTACAGTGAAATGTACTGCTGTAGAGTGGCACATTTTTATACATCACTGTTTTGGAGACAGGGTCTCACCATGTGACACTGGCTGGCCTGGAACTTGCCATGTGAACTTGTATGGCCTGAACGCAAAGAGATTTTCCTGCCTCCATTTCCAGAGCTCTGGGGTTAGAAATGTGTGCCATCATATTTGGCCATTTTGGTATATTTTTGATAATGGGCCCAACTCTAGAACCATCAGGAAAACATAAGACATCTCCATACTTTCAGAAAGCTCCCCCATGACCCTGTCAGCTAACTCTATGTCCCTTAGGAATGCTGTCATTCCCATGACCACAGTCAGTTAGTTCTTCTTAAGTTTCAGACAATGGACATGCAGTGTGTGTCTTTGTGTCTGACGAAATGCACCCAGGACAGTGTTCTAAAAGTCACCCGTACTGTTAAGTCTACAAGCAGTTTGTCCTTTTTTGTTGCTGAGAAATATTCCATTGCATAAAAACACCACATTTGCAATACCATCTCTGATGGACATTTGTTTCCATTTTGGGATATTTTGGACGAAGCCGTCGACTCCTTTACCTGCCTTTTGCAAACATTATTTTGATTTCTTTTGGGGAAAAAGCCTTACCCTAGCCGTGGGACCACCAGGTTACAGGTTGAGCAGTGCTTAACTCCAGAAAACCGCCAGACATTTTTGCAGAATGCTTGCCCCATTTTACATCCCCATCAGTAATATATGACAGTTTCAGTTTATGCAAGCTCAGGAACACTTCCCTGTTGCCAATTTCCATTCTGAGGCACCACTGTGGCACCTCCAACTGTGTCACAAAAAGACAAAGGATTCAGTTTTTTAAGTGGGCAGAGGAATTCAGCAGACAGCTCTCCAAAGAAGACACACAAAGCAGTGTGCACTTCGGAGACGCAGCACCAATAATTTGGGACATGCAACCACGTCGTGCTGAGAGGCCATCTCACACGATGAGAATGGCCAGCATGAGGAGCACAGAAAATCAGTGCTGCCAGCGCTGTGAAGCTCTTGTGTGTGGCCTGTGGGATTGTAAAACGGTATGCTTACTACAAAAAACATAACGGCAGTTTCTCAAAACATTCAAAATAAAATTGCCATGTGACATGGCGATATTGGATAAGTAAACTAAAGAACTGGAATGAATTTCAAACTCAGTATTTCAAATTTCAACTATTAAATTATATACTTTCTTGAGACAGGGTCTCATTCTGTAGCTCCGGTTGACCTGGAATTCTGTATGTATAGCAGGCAGGTCTTGAATTCAGAGAGATGCACTTGCCTCTGCCTCTAGAACACTGGGATTCAAAGGTGTGTGCCTGACTGCAAAAACATTTTAAGTAAGTTATTGCAAACAAATTTTAACATATCAGCAAATTTACAAATGAGATTTGACTATACTACTAATGCATGTTTAAAAAGTTTTAAGTCTAAAATTTTTTCTTAAATTTCTTGCCATTTAGACAAAATAGTACACGTGAAGTCTAAAGATAAGTTTCCCATTTAGCATCAAGATGTTAGCTGAGCAGAGCCGGTCCCATGGGTGCCACTAACTGTCAAAGTGGCAGTTACAAGTGGCCTGTGCCCTGGTGGAAGCTCATGTCTATTCATGTCCCTTCTTATACCCACAGGGGGACCTTGGGAGAATGCTCAGAACAGTTTGTAAGTCAAGAATTGGAACCGGGCATGGTGGAGCTCTGCTGGACGTGGTGGCCTGTAACACAAGCTACAAAGGATGCTGCAACAGGCGATCCAGATGCCAGAAGGAACCCAGAAATGCAGTCTCTCCACCCCGCCTTCCCCAGCAGAACATCAGGAGATGGCACATGGGGCAGACCTCCCGAGAGCTATGCTGATGGAGGCTTGGCTGGGCTCTAGATAACTAGAGAGAGAGAGACAGACACACACAGAGAGAAACAGACAGGCAGAGAGACAGAGAGACAGAGAGAGAGAGAGGGAGACAGACAGACAGACAGACACACACACAGAGACAGAGAGAGAGAGAGGGAGACAGACAGACAGACACACACACACACACACAGAGACAGAGAGAGAGAGAGACAGAGACAGAGACAGAGAGAGAGAGCTGGGGATATAGCTCAGTGGTAAGCCACCTGCCTAGCACACATGAGGCCCTGGGTTCAGTCCTCAGTGTGTAAAAACCAATGCCAACCAAACACCCCTATATGAAGAAGGTGGGCGTGTAGCAACACGTCACAGTGACGATGCCATAATGAAATCTATATAACCAAATACTTAGTGAACAAATTAACAGACATATCTGAGTAACCTTTTCCCCAAATATGCACAAAGTCAGGAAGAAAGAAACAACCCACCTGCTGACACCTTGGAGGCACAGGGGCAAGCAACACCAGGGAGAAAATCTGAACGAGGGCATGGACGGCTGAAGGGGAACTCCCTGGAATAGCGGAAAGCAAGTTGCACAACCTGCTGTCACAGGACCACCCCGCGGGGAATGGGGACAGTCAGGAAGCCCAGTGTGAAGCCACATCTACAGGGTTCACTTACTCCCACGAGCCAAGATGCCAGGGACCTGGCAGCTGAAAACAGGGTATAACAGACCCAGGGGCCATACTTTGAGCTTTCTGCCCAGGAGTGGAGATGCTGCCTGTTGTTTCTGGCCAGGCGGAATAAGGTTTCTGTCTGCAGGACCTCAGATAAGCATGGTCACTTTGGTCTTCTTGGCCCATACTCGAAGTTCAGCCTTTAATGGCGGAATCATCTCTCCAGCCCTCACCCCATTCTCATTAGCAACTGGCAGAAGCAGCGGTGACACTAGTTTTGGTGGCTCTCAGTGGACATCATGACCTGAAAAGAGATACTTTTCTCCCCTACAGACAGCAGGGCACAGCAGGAATGATCTGGATTTCAAGTTAGGAAGTCTTTATTTTAGTCTTGCCTAGACATGAAACAACAGTGTGAAGTTGGAAATAAACAGGGTGTTGTAGATGGAGTTTTTGTCTCACCATCCTTGGTCCTAAATAAACATAGGGACTTATATTAATCATAAACTGTTTGACTGATGACTCAGGCTTCTTATTGGCTAGCTCTCTTTTAATTATTAACCCATAACTATTAATCTATGTGTTTCTACATGGCCTTATCTTACCGGAGAATGCTGGGGCCTGTTACTCCTTTGGTGGCTACGTGGCATCTCTCTCTGGCAGCTCCTCTCTCCTTGCTCTCCCCAGAATTCTCCTTATTTGGTAGTCCCACATCTACTTCCTGCCTGGCTACTGGCCAATCAGTGTTTATTCATCAACCAATAGGAGAAACATATATAGAGAAGGACACCTCCCATCAGGGTATTAATGATTTCCTTTCCCCTTTACCTCCTGTCACTATTTCAAATACAGAAATTCTGGTCTTCCATCTCCTGCCTTCCTCTGGAGAGATTCTGGAAAGAGGTAGATACAGGTGATCTCCTGAGAGCTGTGTGCGTACTATAAGCCAAAAAGAATAATAAAAGCATTGCCGTGGCTAAACCTCCCAGACACCTTACCAGGGAAGATAGGCAGGCTCCAAGGGGGACTTCAGAGCTCCTGTACAGATCTTAGGATTTCCTATCTTTCTTTTTTACAGAAACATGTCTTCATTAATTGGCTGAGATAATTTATAAGACTCCTGCTATTATTAATTTTGATTTCTCTTTTCACTGTTAAATTTCAGAGGCAATTTATCTATTTCTGCTAGCTCCATCATCTATACCTTCTAGGTCAATAATTTTTCCTGCCAGCTCCACAATCTATTACTGCTAGCTCCATCATGTATGTTTGCTAACTC